AAACTTAAACTCAAAGAATTTACTCAACAAGAGACCGAAGGCCAACAACTAATTGATAGTAAATAAATCTTTTAAGTGTGAGATATAGAATATTGTAAGTTTATTTAAAACTCCCGGAGGTTCCATTCATTTTTTATATCACATGTGAAAATGTTTATTATATTTAATGCATTAAATATGAAATTCTTTAATGCATTTTCTTGAAGCATTAAATTAAACATTTGAAATACAATTTATTTATTTATTTTGATTATTTGAAAATTTTAAATATTTTTTAAATCTTGTGATAGTATTTTAACTAATCTCAAAAAATATATACAATAATTTTTTTTAATTAAAAAAATTCAAGATAAAGTGAAAGCATTGATGAAGGGAACATTTACCCAGCCGGAACTGTTCAAGTGAAATTAATGTGTAAGAAATGCAGGAGCCACACAAGCTTTGTATAACTATATTCTTTTTAATAATAAAAAATACGTAGTATATAGTTATACAAAGAAAAAAATACAAAAAAGTTCATTTGATTATTTATTACAATTATAATGACAATTATTCAAACTTAAAATTTATATATATTAATTTAACTTTTCATCTTTATTTTTTTATAATATATTTTTATTAGTTCTCTTAATTTTTTATAAGCAATATGTAAAAAAAATGAAGTATATTTAAATTTTAAAAGACAAATATATTCAAATTTTTATTTAATAAAGAAGATTTGTGAAAAGATTCAAAAGATTTAAAATTATGCAGTGCAATATTATTATTAATAGGTGATGAAGTTCTGAAGGGTTCGTCAAAGCTAGTAGGTAAAAGCATGCATGTAAATTAAATATTCCTCCACTGATTGCCTCGTTTGGTGTTAGTTTTCTGCAACAATGACAGAACCGCTTTGTTTTCAGTAGAAATATATTTATGGGAATTCTTCGATAAACTTTGACCCAAAGAAAGCAAGGACACAACATCCTAGTTATTAATTAATGCACCAGTGTCCTACTGCATTTGAACCCTACTTTGGCGACCATTTCACTGTAATAATAGAGCAAAATATTAATTTAATTTTTAAATTCGTATCATTGGGTAATTTAATTTTTGTTTTGCAAAATTTGATGTTTTATTAATTCTTTTAATCTGATCATTATTCATTGTCAAATCATTAAAGATTATTTTTTTCATGATCGGTAACAAAATAAATTTAAAGATTAAATATGTTATTCATGTGAATAAAAAAATAGTGAAAGAGATAATCTGTATTTTCATGATAAAAAATATCAATATCTAAGTATCGGTTAAAAAATAAATTAAACTAAAAATACTAGTACTAATTTAAAATTGATGTTTTGCACCGTTATAATGTCGTGTCACATGATACGGTTCGTTATGTGAAGTGTGAAGTAACTAATCCGCAGAGTTTTATTTTTACCCTCTGTCTTCTCTATCTTGTTATTATTGGAACCATCCTAAACATGAAAAGTGCAAGTCAAAAGATAGCTATGTTCTTTTTTATTAGCGTATTGGTATCCCCATCCTAGTAACCTAAGGAACACTCCCTTTTACATGTGTTGGACTTTTTCTAAGATGCATGTGGAGTGGTTGCACAATAAAGTTTAAACTATATGACAGATTTGAATCAAGAACAGCATTAAATACAAAAAATGAACTAACCTAAAAGAATACATATTTAATTTAATGAAAATTAACCCAATAACATTGTACTTAATGAGAAGAAAAAAAAGGAATTCAAATGGTTTTTAGAATTAATTAATGGACGAAACTCAGATTGTTGATGGTTAAAAAGTCCATCTCATTTTCGTTTTATTCCAATAAAATGATAAAACTTCTCACACCTCTGTATCATGTGCTTTCTGCTCAAGCAGATATTTAAAAAGTAAAAGCAAAGAAAATTTGTATTAGTGTCCTTCATGAAATGTCTGTATGTTGGTGGTAAAAATGAATTTTATTAATGCGGTCATAATTAAGTTTGTATGTTGATAGTAAAAATAAATTTTATTAAACATTGAAAAATGTCAACATAAAATAACGGCTAACACATAGAGGTATGACGATGCTAATTACAATTGCCAAAAACAGAGTCCAAAGTATTGATGATGTTCACAAAGGACAAAATCAAAGTTGCCTTCAGCTGAAAAAATAAAAAAGTTACTTTCATTTTCAAAGAAAATTCGCTTGATAGTTAGTAGTTGTGATATAAAAGATGTTTTGGGTTAATTTTTTTTTAATATTATCTTAAATATTGACGATACTGATGCTAGATAGCTACATATCGTAAGTAATATTAATGATACAAGTTAGTTGATTGGATGGAGTTATGGTTAGTTGATTAGATGCAGTTTTTATTGAGAAGTATGTCATATAAGGTGCATATAGTAACAAATTAAAATTATTTAAAATCATTTTTTTTATAAATATTGTTAAGTGACTCATCAATTTATTTGAGCTTACATTAACTTTAATAATAATAATAATAAATCATTATATACTAATTGTATTAATATTAGTTGTAATTATAACAATTGATATGTAAGATTAACCTTTTAGAAGAAGAAATCAGACAGCAGTGTATACATCTGTGTACATTATAACCTTTTGTGAAAAAAAGAAGAAAAAAAGAATTTCGTAAAAATGAATAAAACAATCAATTTGGAGAATAAATATTTGGTATAAATTTTTATGCATTTTTTATTCTTTCCATTATTTGGTTAATTAAATACTCATTTAAAATTTTTATTACATTGTTATTCACCATATTGTTGATTAGCTATTTCTAATTATCTTTAGTAATTTCAAGAAGCCTTAATGTATTCTTTTCTTCTTAACCCCTATTTGGATTATGGGTCTATTCCCATTGTGCTTCCCTAAATACTAAGGTTAGTTCACAATAGCAATGAAAACAATATCATCATTAATCTCGAGTGAGTTTGGGTCTAGTGGATGAGGTGGAGGGTCTAGAAGATGCAATTGATGCAAAAGTTGGTTTGGTTATAGAAGAGGAAGGAGAAGGTGAAGAAAGGGAGAGAGGGTGGAGGTTGGTAGTAAATTGTATGAATGTGTTGTTACTCTATAAGGAGGAGAAAAGAGCATCAGAAAAAGAGACTTCTTGAAAAGGAGAAAGGGTTATAACATGAACATTTTTTTTAACATAAGGGTCAACTGTAATTTTACAATAAATAAAATAAATAATTAAAAAATATTTAACTATAATACCATTGTTTTCCTTGTTCATGGATAGACCATGTGAAAACATTTTCCATTCTAGTAATTACATTAAGAGATAATCCTTTTCAAATTAAATAACACTATTATGAATAATATTTTTTTAAAATATTTAAGTAATTATATATTTATAATTTGAATTCAATAGCTAAGACCAAATATTTAATTCAATTTCTATTATATTTTATATATTTTCATGTCAACTTATGCTAGAAATAAAATAGACAATATATAATCCTATAAAAAAAATTTCAAAAAGTTTTTTTTTTTTTTACTAAACATATATAGATCGTATTTTACCTTCATTTAAACCTTTTTAAAACAAATATAAATAATTTCACATTTACTAATTTATGTTGCTAATTATAAAGTTGTCAAATACATAATTATATTTTCAGTGATCGACAAAAAAAAAATATTATAAATAAATATTACTTGTAGTTTTAATTATAAGTAAGAAATTAGATTTTTCTTTGATCCTAATTGTAAGTGATAATTATTATTTTTAAAATTAATCAGAATTAAATTTCATTAATTTTTAATTATATTTTTTATGTATTCACGTATATTTTGTCTATTATCTATTATATGCAAAAAATATATATTTTTCTTAAATATAAACAAATTTTAAGTATTTTTATCTTATTTAATAATATTCTTTTTAAAATATCCCTCAATAATGAATGACCTTTTAGTTATATTTCTTATTTTGACATTTATAATAACAATAATTTAGAAAAAAATAAAATTAATAAAATTTAATGTATATAATTAATTTTTTAATATACATAAAATCAATTTTTTTCTTATAATAAAAAATAAAGTGAATAACTAATATTAAATATAATAATTACTTAAAGTAAAATGTGTGTGTAAAATAAAACTTAAATTTATGATAGAATTAATTAAAAATACTTATATTAATTATTTTTTAGATCTTAATAATTTATCCCATATTACTTATAATTAATGCAATAAATTTAAATAAAAAAAGTAATTTTCCTCTTCACTGTGAATAAAGAAATTAAAACATCAAATTTTGGTTAGATTATCGACTGGCACGTGTGCAGTACAGAAGTCACACACAACATATTTATGTTGTCCATCTCTTGAGATTTGTATTCAATCAAAGTAATGACGGTTTATCTCATAATAAAATCTTAGAAAAACATGCAACCGATTTATATGAAAACAAGCAGACAGGATTTTTAGTATATAGGTGGTGCCATTGACCCTTTATTGGGAGTTGTTGGCCAAAATTTGAGATCCACTCTCTGTTTATTCCTGTCAATAGTTTGGGTGTTATGCAAGTATGGGCGAAGCTACCCTTAACTCTTCTTTGCTCACAAGGGTCAAACCAAGCTTACACCAAGAGCGTTCTTCACATGATCTCAAATTATTAATGTATCCTCCAATATTTATTCATGTAAAGTTATGCACGAATCTTCAATCTTTTTTCCCTCAGACCATAAATATCATAATTTATGTGGGTTAAAGAATTGATTAATAATTTAATATTTGTATATAATCTTTTAAACTTTAGTTCTATCACTTAAAAATTACTTATTTTAGTCCCAAAACTTAATTTTTAATTTATTTTAGTTTCTGTTATCTAAAATTATAGAATCTAAAGGTACATATAAAGACTAAAACAAGTTAAAAAGTAAATATATAAGGATATTTTAATCTCTGTCATCTAAAACTATAAAGTCTAAAAGAATATATGTATATATATACATAAACATAAAGGCTAAAAGAAGTACATGTATAAGGACTAATTCGAGTAAGTTGTATATTTAAAGACTAAAATGTAATTGTACATGCATAAACACGAAATGAGTAATTAAATGAAAAAAATTATTGCAATCCTACTATCCTAGCATGGATTCCTTCACCCAAAGCACTGATGCAGTGACTGATCATCAAAAAGAGGAGCCAGTCCTCGTGCTAACCAAATTTAGGATGACATCTCATACAAGATACTAGTAGCATTCTTGAGGCCAAAAGAGAGTAGGTAGCATTAAATTAATAGCCTTTATTTTGAGGGATGAAGCATGCAAGCTTTTCACTTTGGTTTTCACAATGCAAGCTTTCCACCCCTTGATTCCCCAACCACGTTCTTCCTTTCACCGAGAACATGGTTTTACTTTAGAAAATGCATCATCATTTTTCATTGATATACATGGGTTTATATACAAGTTGTGTTGTGAAACAAACATCATGAGAACATACTCTTCAACCTCCAATGAGCTTTTGCTCACCGGGGTGGCATCTTCCAAATACTTGAAATTAGTATTAAAAATTTACAATTCCAAACATAAGCTAACACCTAATCTCTTAGACATCAATATCGCAAAATTTTCCACCCATTCGGTTCTGGACAGCTTTCACTGCAGCAACTCTAGCAGCAGTGGCTGCTTTGTTTGCAGCAATTACTGCTTTGTTCACATGCTCATCCTTCCGGGGAAGCTTTATAGCATCTTCAGCAGTTTTCCTAGCAGCCTGCAATTCAATCCCAAAACAGGAACAAACATTTATGAGAACAACACCAGCATTTCTATCATAATTATAGAAAACAACAAACTAGCAATGACATGTTATATTAAATGTGGTCAAGAGTTTAGATCATGATATTTGTATTAAAAAAAACATTTGTTAGAAAATAACTATCCAATAAATGAATCTAATTCCAGATATTAGTCTTTTTAACTTTTGACTAGAAATATTAAATGTTAATTCAGTTGTAAACCCCCATTTTAGTAATAAGACTATAAGCATCAATCCCTTTAATCCCAAAGTCTACAAAACTTTTACTATAGTCAAAGACTAATGCAAAGTGGTTTTACTCCTTTTAGGTAAAGGCTAAACAAGTGAATGATAGTGACAAATACCTGAACTGCACGAAGGATAGCATCATATAGCGGTGGTAGAGAGAGCTTGAGATTGCCAGCATCCCATTCACCACATTTTCTGTCACCGTTTCTAAAAGTATACACGCCATAACCTTGTCTTCGACCTTCATGCCATGATCCTTCATAACAGTGGCCATTGGCAAAGTGGTAGACCCCAAATCCGTGTATTTTGTCTCCAAAGTACTCTCCAGCATATCTATCTCCATTCCTAAAGCAAAATGTAACACACCGAGTTAGTTTATTTGGTAAAAGTAACCAAGGTTACATATGTATTCCACACAATAGCTTTCCGTGTAATAACAAACAATAGTTATTATCAGAAGAGAAACTTCGCAACACAAGTATGCAGTACCATTAATACCGCAGCTTGTCAACAGACATTAACAAGGACTTGAAAATTTATCAATCATTTAACTTGTCAAACATTAAAAAACATCGCAGACACCAGAAAATTTCAGCAACTTGGACAATCAAATTTGAAGATTTCAATACAGAATTTAATTCATTGACAAAACAACAGACAGGAAGATGAAAAACAACAGCAACAAAGCCTCGCTTACAATTCTAAAGAGAAAGAAAATAGTCAACCACACAATCAGAAAACCACGGCCAAGAAACCAATCAAAAAATAACCAACGAATTCCACTGTAGCATCACGGTTCTAAAACTGTACACCCAAAAGACTATTTACAACAAAGAAAAGGGAAAAGTGAAAAACAAACAAGATAGCAAAATTAACACAGTTTACCTGTTTTTGATTCTTTTCTTATTCTTTAATTTTAAAAACTATTTTGTTAAAAGAAAATTTTAAAATTTTCTCATACAAAATCTATGTAGTTCTAAAATTTGATTCCAAAACAAATGAAAAAAAAAAGACACAAGTGGGAAAATTTTTCTCATTTTCTTCATCTGTTTCATCTCATTCAACTGCACTCTCTGCTTAGTGCCTTGAACCACCCTCCAGTTGTCTGAACAACCAAGTTTAGTCTCACTTCAAAAACCAAAAAACAATTTTTGAAAAACAGAAACCAACCGCACCTTAAATTTCGAACAAAACCAAACTCTCCAATTGAATTAAGAAAGAACCATTGAGAATACCAACCTGAAATGGTAACATCCAAGTCCATGCTTGACCCCATACTTAAACTCCCCAACATAACAACTCCCATCAGAGCAAGACTGCACTCCCAACCCATGACTCTGGCCATTACACCACTCCCCAGCATAAGAGTCCCCAGTGTAAAACTTATAAACCCCAAAACCATGCCTCAAACCCTGCCTATAACACCCCTTATACCTACTCCCCCTAGCCCAACTCTCTATCCCATACCCATCATACCTCCCATCAACCCAATCCCCCTCATACCTCCCACTCACAAAATAGTGATACACCCCACTCCCATTACACCTCCCTCCATGAAACTCCCCCTCATAAAAATCCCCATTACTATAAAACTCCACCCCCTCTCTCCTAACCCCCTCACCATCATCATCATTACCCTTATTCTTATTCCTATTCTTATACTTATTTTTGTTCTCCCTCCTCACCACTGAACCGGTGGCATCCCCAATGAACCACTGAACCGGCTTCTCACTACCCTTTGCAGAAAAACCGAGCCTTTTCAAGTTCCCATCCCAGGCATGCTTCAGAACCGAAACGGTTCGCTGGATCAACACCTTGTTCCGGTTCGCGAAGTAGAGAACCACCGCGAGAAAAACCAGCACCACCAGCACGTTCTCGGAGGTGGGCCCGGCTCGGGCCCCGAGATAGAAGAAGTATGAAAAGAGCGTGCACGCGCTGAATAAACCGAGAACCGGTCCGAACCGGATCGAAGCGGTTCTAGCTTTAACCGGTTTGCTCTTTCTCTTGCTCGATGACTCGTCGGAAAAGTCTTCCTCGTTGACGGAAGAGAGGCTATGGATGGAAGAGCGCGTGGTCGGGGAGGAACACCGAAGCAGCGAGGATTGGGTTCGGGTGAGCTTGGTTTGGGTTTGGGCTTGGGTTGGTTCCATCGGTGGGTCCCACGTGGCTCAATGTGCGCCGCACGATCTGTAGCGCGAGATTCTCACCACCACGGTTGTTACTCCCGGCGGCGCCGGCAACATCGCAGGCTGCGCACGGTGGCGCACACGGTAGTAACTCAAGAACTCGGTTGAAAAAAAAAAAAAGGTTCTTTTTATTTTAACTGATTTTGGGTTATTCTCTGGAGAAGGTGAAACTGAAAGTAGAAGTGGAAGAGAGTGGAGTTCGCAGGTTACGATGAAGCGTTTTCTGGTTTGAGTTTGGTTCTTTTTGATGTTTCCGATTTTCCGTGTTGGTGTGTAATTATATACGGAGCGAGTGGCAGTGATATTCGATGTGAACCGTTTGATGGAGATCGAACGGTTGGTTTTGATTTGGTGTTTGTGGCCGTGTGATCCAGGAGAAGAAGTCGTGGTGTTGGTGTTGACGCGAAGATATGTGGATTATGATCATCAGATGTTTATTTATTTATTTATTTTGTATTTTCCGAATGGAAAAAAAAATAATAAAAAAAAAAATCTTACCATATGACTCGTTCGTTCAGTTGGATTTAATTTTAGCCACAAGGGTAATCACCATTCCTTCATGGATAGCACTGATTTTTATTTTAAAGGGTTTTGGTCCATCAGAACAACCTGAAAGGAGTTATTATTATTATGTTTGATTGGGTTTTAGGGCATTTATTTTGTATGAGTTGGATCCTGGTTGGCTTTTGAATTTTTGATCACCTATCATTTTTGAATGAGTTATAATTTTTTGAATTTATCCATATGGCATTGGCAACTAAAGTGGTAATCATTCTTTTCGGCTAAAATTCTGTTAGTCTTTCTTTCTTTCGGTACTAGGAGATGGTTTTTCCAAGTCTTGCGCAAGTAAAAATGAATTGTTTGAGAATTATAATGGGTAATTCTTATTTATGATTTAACACGTGTTCAGTTCAGTTTTTTTTCTCTTTTTCTTTTCCCAGTACATGCACCTTCTTTCTTGAAATGGGAGGTTTTCAACCATGATATTTTTTTTTACTTTCGTAATAATTCATTTGACCACTATAATCTAGGATTGGTCACAGATAATTATTTCTCAAAATATATGACCAGATTTTCATGTTTTGTATATGGAAGTACATCTATTAAAGGATGAAAAATTTTCAAATAGATATTTATATTTTAAAAAATTAGTCTCTAATTCTTGAATGTGCATCTATTAAAAGATGATAATTTTTTAAATATTTATATTTCATGAAATTAATTTCCAATTCATGAACGAAGAATGTCTATAAACAAAAATATATAATTCATTTTTCATGAGATACAACTGTTCAGGATGACTAATTTTTATGTCAACAATGATTATACTTTTTTTTTAAAGACCAACAATGATTATATACATGCATATAAAAAAGGTCTTAAATTATGTATATGAGAGGTCATTTTTAAATCTATCAATATCCATAAATAAAATTCACTACAAGATAGTATTAAATATGATGTAATTAACTTAAACATTGGTGATGGTAAAAGAAAATATTTACATAAAAATTTTATATTAATTATTAAATAAATAATATAATAAAAAAATACGATAACATGATTATTTGTCTAAAATTAATATTTATTGATTTAATTAGTGTTATAATTAATTTTCAAATCTCAAAATTTTGAATTTGAATCTTATATTAAAAAAAAAACTCCTACTAATAATATAATATAAAAAAAATTAGTTGCCTAAAGTAAAAGTTTTCGTTTTTCAAGTTTTGTTTAACATTTTTTTTTCTACTAATGAATAACCATCTATTTGAATTTTGTTTACAAGTTAAACCATGTGAATCAGTTTTTTTTATAATAAAAATCAGTTTTTACTTTAATCGTAACAATTGATGTAAAACTGTTCACTTTTTAAAATTGAAAAAAAAAACAACGTTAATTCCGATTTAAAATAATTAAAATAACTGATATAAAAAAATAAAAATAAAAAATAAAAAAACGAAAGTAATGTTTATTTGCACGTGATCACAAAAGAAGGATGGTGAGGGTTAAGGATTATAGAGTAATGTTTATTTACACGTGATCATATTTTTGCTGTCTTTTTTTTCTTCTTCTTGAAAATGAAGGTTTTAAAATTTTAATAATAATAATAATTTTCATCATTTCTATTAAACATCCATTTAATAAAAAATGTATTATGTACCAAAAAATAAAAATAAAATAAAATAAAATACTGTATCGTTAGCGTAATAGTTTTAAAACTCTAGATTAATTAAAAATATTTTTATATGAATTTTAAAATATAATTATTATAAAAATTAACAAAATTTGCATGTATCATAATTTATAATTAAATGACAATTGTAGATACATATATTATTATCAGTTATCACTAAGTCATTTTTTACTCAATAACTATTCAGAATAGATAATCTTCATGTTAGCAATGATTATATAAATAAATAGAGGGGAAAAAAAACTTTCCTAACATATTGGAACTTTAATCAATTCCTTAAGTAAGATTTCAGTCTCTGAGAGATAATATTAAAGATAATTTTAAAATAAAAATATGTAAATATAAGATAAATTCAATGTTATCATTTTAATTAATTATTTTTATTAATTCTTATAATTTTGTTAATTGTGTTCTATAAAAAAATGAATAATTAAAATATCAAATCTATGGCTTTTGTTGTGATAAAATTTATTTAAAAATTATGACTACAAAAGGAAATTATATTGATATATAAATTAGGATGATCATTTTGAAGGAAAAAAATTTTAGAAATTATTTTCAATGAGAGCCACAATTTATTTTTTTTTTATGAATGTGTTCTAGAAGATTTTTCTTAAATTTTTATCTCTTGTAATCTAAGTTTCAAAATTTAATATATTTTTTTAAAAGTAACATGTTGAAGTTAACTATATATTGTATTGTATTGAAAGATTGTAAGATGACATTGTGTTATAAAAAAATTGAGTTGTTTATGTCAATAACATAGTTGTTTTATTTTTGTGATATTTATGTTGATTCTTTAAATTCTAACTTATTCTTACATATTTTTATGTAATTAAATTATGGTGATTGTAATTAATATGAAAGTAAAATAGATATATAAATTTTCAATTGGTGTCCCTTTAAGACCTTTTCTGGTATTGGCAATGAAGATCTTTTGGAACTATCCTTGTGTAGGTGGTATAGTATAGATATGTATATATTGTTTATGATTTAACCGTTGATAAATTTTAATTTTACATGTATATATTATCATGTGTATATTCGTGCATTATTAGTATATTAAATCATAGTCAATTATACATTCAAGTTCTTCTACTATTAATAGTAGTATCATCAAGTGTAGTAGTTTGACGAATTGTTATATATAATATTTATTGTAGTGTTTTAATTTTATTTTTTTTACATTACATTATCAATTATATTTATTATTTTTCTTTCTATATTTTTTTCTCTCTCAAAAAATTCATACTTCAAAAAATGTGAAATAAATATTTCAAAAAATTATTTAAGATTATATTTTATTATAACAATAATAGATAAATATGTTTTTTTATTTATATAATCATGGTAAATTTATTTTAAATAACTAAAATTTTAAAAAAATTATTAAGATATTTATTACTATTAAAATATTAATATTTATTTTTCATTTTTATTACATATATAAATTATACATGAGTTTTTCAATTTTTATCAATGTTTTTTAAAAAAAAAATTATACACGTACATCATATTTTGATTAAAATATCTTAATGTTTTTAAACAATTAGTATAAATTTTATTAAAATAAAAAAAATTATAAAATTTATTATTTTAATATTTACTACATATTTAATTAACTTGATCGAAAATAAACATTATGTATATATATATATATATATTATAAAGTTATGGGCAAAATGATTTGAATAAGTCGTAGGAACTACCAACTATAAACTATGGTTAAAGTTTCCAATGATTATCATCATAACTATATTGACTCTACCCGGCCAACACAAATTCATCCCAAAAGTTTTTTTTTTTTTTTTATGTATAAAAAAGTTTTTCTTTTCTCTTAAATATATTTCCTGTATTCAAGTATTAGTGTATTACAGTCATTTCATTTTTTTATCAAGAAGATTTAAATGAAAATTTTAATTACTCAAATTATGATAGCTTTTTATCAAAAAGTCAAAGATTTAAATTCTTAGTGGTCAATTCTAACAATAATACTTAATTGCTAAACTAAGTATTATTAAACTAATTATTATTTTAACATTAAATTAAAAAACATAATTTATACATTTTCACTGAAACCAATTAGGTATGTATTTACTAATAAATAAAAATTAAATATTATATATTATTACTAGAAATAATATTATTAATAAATTATACTAATAATATTATTAATATATTATCACAAAAAGGATTGACCTTATAAAATGGATTGAGTTAATTTGAAAGAATTAAACCAATTTAAAATTTTGAATCTTATAATAAATAAGAAAGGATAATATTTTAAAATTATGCAACGTTGACTAAAATTGTGATGTTTATTTTGTCTTTATATTTTTGGAATCCTTTATCCCTCACCAAACAATCTTTTAAGTAATTGCACTCATTATTTTCACTCTCACAATTTCATCTTTCTTACTTTCTCTCTTTTTTGTTAAACCAACTTCACATCAATGTATTATCTATTCTCCATTTTACGATATATTCTCTCTTACTTTCTTTGTTTTACTTTCTATTATATACATCCCCTTCATTTTTTGTTTGCTTTGATTTTGATTGTTGCATATTCTAAAGTAACATTTCACTATGGAGACATGACCAAATCAAGAAAAAGGTTCACATGTGATTTAGAGTCATTTTGTTTTATTTTATTTTTGTGTCTTTATGCTTGTCATTATTAGATTTGGATGTTTCGTTCATTCTAGAAAATTGGTCGATGTTGAGGTTTTCTCATAGTGTAAATTTGTTATAGGTTTATCGGAGTTTTTGAATGAACATTTGGATCCGGAATATTCGCATCGCATCTTTCCCCGTAAATTGTTTGTTAAATCGCCTTCACTTTATGCGGAGTACAAAGGGTGGTTGTACTTTCGGTACAAATTGCATTGTGTAACCCCCTTTCCAGATTACATATGTTAATCATAATATAATTTATATATTTAAAAGCATTTATTTATATAAAAAAATTAAATATAATTTATATATTTAAGTATAATATTTATTTATATTTATATTTATTATTTATTATAAAATTTAGTTATATATAATAAATATTTAGTTGCGAAATACTAGTTAATAATTAATTTGATTTGGTATTAAAAAAATCAATAAGACACGCGTGAAACATGAAAAATATGTGATTAGAGTAGAATTTGATTTAGGAAGCATTTTATTTTAAAAATAATGACTGTGGTGTGAATGAGTATGTTAAAGCCTAGATGCCTTGACTTTACTGCCTATCAGATTTGATTAATATCATTTATCATTCGAGAAAAACAGACCATTCAATAGAGTAAACGTCAAGACTCAATTTGACCTCTGAACCCTTGTTATATTAGTTACAAAAACTAATATTGTCAAATAATATTTTTAAAAATTAAATAAGTATTTACTGATATTTTAGTTCTTGAATATTTATTAATATTATTATTTAAGTCACATATTCTTTTAAATTTTGAACTAATGTAATTATCAATTAGGGTTTATAGAAACTTATTTAACAACTTTTTAATTTCAGAGGCTAATATAACATTACATTCCAAATTCGTAAATCAAATTAAATGTTTACTCTCTTGAAACAATGTTTTTCTTCTTTATGGTAGTAAACATAAGGCCATGGGCCGAAGACGCTAAATATGGCAAATGTGAAGGAGCTTCTTTGTGTTTGGCCCAAAAATAGGTGTTCGATATCACCAAAGTTCTGGTTTTGAAACAGAATCACTATTTAACACTGCAGATTCGTTTATTCTATCCTCTAATTAAATCGTATACGTCATTTACTCTAGTTTTTTTTTTTTTTTGCATAATGTCTGTAGAAAATAAAGTGAAGTGCCTAAAATGAATAACTTTCTACAAAGTCAAGAATTAAAATGGAGATTTTATAAAGTCAGGTACTAAAGTATTCGGTGCTTACAATATCAGGAACAAGTATTGAGCGATTATTCGATTTGGGGTAGGCCAAATTGGTGAACACCAACACTAACAACTTTCTTTCTAGCAATCCAATTATACATTTATACTGAAAAATAAACACATCCAAACAAACTTCATGATTGTCACATAAGATATACCTCTGGATTGTGGAAGGATTTCAATATGTATCAAGTGAATTATACTCGGTTTATAACATGAATCATTGGTATAATACACCTAAACACACAAAATTTGTGATATATGCTATCAGAGTATCAGTATTACATGCTAAGTGCTAACGGCACATATTAATAACTCAAATGCGTGAGATGTTTCACCACTGCATGGTTATGACACTACTGGTGTTGCTTGCCATTGACCACATCTCTCTTTATGTTCATTTATTTACAACACTGAACAATTAAACAGTTGAAAAAACTACCTCTTGATAGTTGCATATTCCACAATTACAAGAAGTTTGTACCCACAGAATAACTTGTTTTTGTAACACCATGCGAATAATATCCTTAATTGAAAAAGTCAATGAACCTTTGATATGTAAATAACATGATTAACTACAATATAAAAGTGGTTTTTTTTAGAGTTTTTCTATTAAAAAAAATTCTTTATTTCAGTAGAAAAGTTCTCTACTTGTATCTAAACATGCTTTAGTTCATAGTCAGGAATCAGGATTTAAGCTAACTGGAAATCCGGCTAAACTTCAAAATTTGGAAGAAAAATAATACTCTCCAATTACAAGATTTGAGGACCTGACTTTATGATAGACACATGGCATCCATTTTTCTACCCTTTCAATGAAGTTAATATCCTACTTCAGGGTTTCCAGTAAGAAAAATGTCCACAATCAAATATTCTAGATGATATACTAACAAATACTCCATTTACTTGATCAGGTCTCAAACTAAGTCATAGCATGCATTTGGATCATTTTCTTTTAAGCTTCTCCTTCATCCTTTCAACAGCAGCCCTTAGAGTTCCCTCATCCTTGCAGAAAGTAAACCTTACTAGATTCTTTCCCTCCTCAGGATTCAAATAAAACACACTGGTTGGAATTGCAGCCACTCCCACCTCCTTTATCAGATATTCACAAAATGCTACATCATTTTCCAATCCAAAAGGTGTGTGATCCACAATCACAAAGTAGGTTCCACTTGGAGGGAATACCCTGAAGCCAACATCCTTCAATCCTTCCACTAAAATATCCCTCTTTGCCATGTAATCCCTCTTTAATTCCACAAAGTAAGAATCTGGTGCTCTTAGAGCTGCTGCAGCTGCCCATTGCATAGGATTAGTGGAAAAACACATAGATAAATAGTTATAAAATTTAGGATGTTACACATTGCTTTCACTTTGAATAACTTAACCATGGAAATAGGTATGGGATAATGGTTAAGTTATTCCCCTTCATCTATTCACTTTGATAATATTTCTCTTTTAAAAATCACAAAAAAAAGTTGTTTACTATAGAAATAAATTGTTCTAATTGATTCACTTTATAAAATGTAATGATCTACCATAATTCCTATACTTAACAAAATCAAACAACTAGTAGCGAAAAACTACAACTACCTATGATTGATATATTCACATCACCTAAATTGTGTATATATATATATATATATATGAGCGTAAAATAACTAGGGAAATAAAACATCTAAATCAACATATATGTGTGTATATGTACAATATTTCATTAATTGTGAAAAAATAATTCTAGTTGTCGGTCAAGTAACATCTAACAATTACAACTCTTGCCAAAAGTAGCACTTAGTTACACGTCAACAACATTTGTAGACACCAACATCCAACCTATCATTGCTTTGCTCCTATGTAAAACATGATCATTGTAGTTCAACTACCAAAATAACACGCAAGGGTAAGCTAGATTTCAAAAGAATTATCATATAATAAGTATAAAAGAAATACAACTATATTAACCACAACATCAACATGTAAATCATACAACATAACACATGATCCACAACTTAGCACCACACTCAATCGCCTAAATATGACATTCAATGTCTTATAAAAGTAAACAATTCAACACCATATGACAAGATCATATTTCTCCACACTCATGCCATTTAATCATGAAATCAACAAACATATGAACAACATCAAATCACATCACATCATATGCACAAACTTCAAAAGAATTATCATATAATAAGTATAAAAGAAATACAACTATATTAACCACAACATCAACATGTAAATCATACAACATAACACATGATCCACAACTTAGCACCACACTCAATCGCCTAAATATGACATTCAATGTCTTATAAAAGTAAACAATTCAACACCATATGACAAGATCATATTTCTCCACACTCATGCCATTTAATCATGAAATCAACAAACATATGAACAACATCAAATCACATCACATCATATGCACAAACTTCAACTAATGCATCATCACGTATTCACTTGCAACATGGGTGGATAGATTAAGTAGTTTGACTCTACCGAACCAACTCAATCGTTGTCACGCCTTACATGCCTGCTAGATTAATAGTTAAATTGGGATACCAATCCTTATCTTTTAGTTTCTCGGATGTCGTCACTTAAATTAGGAAAGTCTTATACTACTGTCAAATATAATATAACTTGGGTGAAGGCCTACTATTGGATCAAGTGTTTACTACTAGGCCAAAAGCTATAACTAATAGTCAAGGACCAACTCTTTCTACTTAACCGTGGCAATCCAATCGTCACATGTCTTGACTGTGACTTGACCCACTCAGGCCTTCGCCATAGGACAATTGATGCAACTTAACAAACAATCTCCCCCTCAACAGTTGCTCCCGCTAGGAATTGAACACGTGACCTTGACTCTAATACATTGTTGGATTTAGCACTTACCACTAGGCCAAAAATTATAACCGATAGTCAGGGTGCAACTCTTTCTACTTAACCGTAATAGCCCAAGTGCAACGTGTCTCAACTGTGACTTGACCCACTCAGGCCTCTGCCATGGGACAATTGATGCAACCTAACAAACACCTACCATGACCTTGGCATGCATAACCAAGTCACTTGTGGGATTAACCCACTAACTATCCTCACAATATCACACATCTCTTTAGTAATTAGTTAAGGGTGGTAGCCCTTAAATTCACACCTTGCTCTAACATCGACTAAGGATCTAAAGGAGACTCACTAACTCACTAAAAGAGCTTAACATTTACCCAAAGAGAGTTTTCAACAAATAGCCTCAGAGCGTCATACCAATATCCATACTATGAGATATTCAACTTTTGAAAACATATTTTCCTTTAAACCTAAGTCAATTAATATACTTTAATGCCTAAAACATTTTTAGCATCAACACTTCAACAATCATCATTTATATACATTACCTTAGGTCAATGGATATAGAGATCTAACAATATTATTAATTTAAAACATACCAATGCTTCTCAACAATTTCAACCATACAATCATCTATACATATATCATCGCAGATCAATATGCATAGAACAACAACATTCAACTATCAATAGTTAAATCCTCAATATGCATTATCTTGAATCAATGTATAAATAACTAACAAGATATATCAATATACACATATAATAAATACAACTACCACATACATGTTTAATTCATAACTTTCACCAATTCAATCATGTAATGATAAATCCAAGCAACAAACAACAAGCAGTCATTAAGCAACATTCAATTCACAAACTTCCCGTACTCTATGACCACTTTAATTACAATATGGATCGACCAAACCTCTATATTGTTTCATACAAATCCTAAAGGAGACACCTTAAAATCACCTTCCTATTCAAGAGTTAACTCACTCACTGAAGGATTTTTAACTTGGCTTATTTAAGCGCCACAATTGATATCCACACAATGGGATAAGAAATTTTTAGAAAATAACTTTCATCTCCTCTAATTTTTATGTATCTTAACGGAGACATGTATCAAAATACCACATATCTAAACAACTTAACAACTTCAATCTAAATCAACTTCAAAACAACTTAGATCACTATTATGCATCATTGAAAATTAATATATAATACACCAATTTCAATCATCATCATAGACCATGTAAAACAAATAGCACAACGAGATATGTGAAGAAAATTACAAGTTAAAAGGGGAAACAAGCATTTTAAGCACCTTAGAGCTCACTCAGAGTAGCCAAACTTTGCTTAGAGCATTCGATAGTTCGCTCAAAGTAAACAAAATTCACTCAAAGCATCCAACAACTCGCTCAAAGTTGTCGACAACTATCTTGGAGCTATGAAAATTTGCTTTAAGTGACTCAAGTCAAAAAGCATCTTTAAACGTTCTCAGCCTCAGTTGCTCGTTTTAAGTGACCCCGATGAGCTCTTTGAGCGAGCAAGCCCAAAATACATGCATGAGTTTAAGAAAACCCAACAATTGAAGAACAAATTCAAATCCTCTCAGCCCATACAATAATACATGCATGAAAACTCATAATCTTCTAATTATTACAACATGCAACCCATGGATTGAAGAAAACGAGGCATACAACAACAACACACCAACTGTATCATCAAATCTTTCATTCTTCACCAAGATCACAAAGATTTTCGCAAAATACAATACCCTCTCCCAATCATGCATACCCTCATGCATTTAACAAGATTCAAGGCATATGCAACACCACATTCTAGCAAGACCAAGTTTTAGTTTCCCTTACCTCAGAGTCAAAGTGAAATGAGGAAAAGAAGAAATATGAACCATGAGCAAGCCAAAATCTTCACACCAACATTGTTATGAATATGGTCTTCAACTCTAGCAACTTCGAATCATCCTAACTTTCATATGTTTAAGCTATATTTTTTATAACATAAAGTAAGAATTATCATAACTCTAATTTCCACCCCATAAAAACTACAAACAATAAAATAACATAAAAATAAAACACTTAATTATATATATCTCAAATATATATAATTAAAAAATATAGTGTTACATAAAATCTTTTATACCGACTTATATATCCATTTACACTACTTTTTTCTCTGAAGTTAATTTTTTTATGTTATCTAAACTCTTAATTCGAAAAGCTTAAACCGAAAGCTATAGCGGGCCAGCTCCGGGCCGCAAATGGATATGCCTCATGATGAGATTTGTGTTTGTGGGCCTACATTTTAATTAAAAAAAAATAAAAATTTATGTTAGTTTGGTCTTATAATTGGTTTAGGCTTCTCCACCCAAAACATTTTCTACCCAAATACAAAAAGTTCAATGATTTTTTCATGATAAAGTGAAAATTCCAACGACCGTAATTCAGTTTTTGAAGAGACTAAAATTAACACTGTCCCACGCCGCAACATATTCCTGTCCTATTATAATTGTTTAAGAATCTGTTGAACTGATTAAAATAATTAAAAGTAAAAATTAAACATATCCTTAACTCAAAATTAGAAAATAGAAAATTATGATTTAATTCATTTTATTTTTATGTTAAAAATCAAATTGAACTCAACCAGATTGTAAATATATGTAGCTAATACATAACACATTAAACAATTAATCTCGTATTCGAACTTTTAGTCAATAGTAATTACAATACTTTAAATAAAATTAGTCTTTGCCTTATTAGATTTGACAATGCTGGTGGCATGACAAAAGAGTTACAAATATATACTAAACTTATATTAATTTTCCTATTATATCTTCAAATATGATTTAACTTAAAATAGTTATTGTATTGTTAAACTTATTATCAACATATATATGCATTTTCAGGCAATTTAACATTACTTTTACCTGTATTTTATAATTTAGAACAAGTTGAAGTTTATGATTTGATCATTTATTGACTTTTTATATAGCAAGTGTTATTTCCTAAATAAAAAGTTAGCCACTAGAAAAACTTATGTACTAGTTTGAGACTTTACTCTTGCTCTAATTAATTAATATTTATTTATTTTTAACCAAAAAATAAAGCAACGCCCTTTAAAAAAAACCAGAATAAAGCTGAAATAATTAACCCAATCTAATCCTTAAAATATCAAATTAATTTAGTTTATTACTTTTAAATTGATCCAAACTAAATCACAATTTATTATTTAACAATTTATGTACAAATAGCATAAAGAATTCTTACATTAACAATTAATCACAAATTAATATATATTGTTTATTAATTTTAAAATAACTACCTTAAAAGTTATATTAATAATAATTTTTTTAATTAATTGACATCGTTATTTTTCTTTACAACGGCAATATATTAAAATTAAACTTTTTTTTTAAAATTAGATTAGATGATGCTTTTTCTACACTCCCTTCCACTCATGACAAAAACCCACCAAGACAAGGGTATAATGAAACATGTTTTGCTACATCTGTCATAATTTTGTCGATTTTTTGAATGCAATGAAGTTCGAAATCGAACACGATAAAGTTTGTGTAAACTAAAATTAGATGCCCTATCCGTTATCAAGTGGACACTTTTATTTTATACATGAAAAATAGAAAGAGAAATAGAAATGAAGTGGAAAGTTTAGAATAATGAGTAAAGTATATAAAATGTTGTGTGATAAGAGAAGGTGCACATGGAAGTAGAGAACCCTTACTCAAAGTGTGTCACAGTCACGGCAGACATACTGGTCTGGTGGCTCCAGATTTTATCTCTCAGATTTCAAGATTTTCATTATCTTATTTCCAGATCTTATCTTGCTATTTTATCATCCACGTTTAATGGATTTCTTTTTTTAATTCTTCATTTCAAGAATCGTAAATCTGAAGGGATAAATTCAGATGTAGATCAACTTGTGGAGGTTGCACTCAGGTAATTAACTTTGGTCCTCAGCAAAAGATTTTTCTCCCAAACTACTGTGTTGGATGCTATTTTTCATTTTCTATATATTTTGAGTAAATTAACTTATTTTATAAATAAAATATTATAAAAATAAATTTAAGTGAAGTGATGCATATTTAAAAAATGGTTTAATTAATCTTTTGGTATTATATCTACCTAGCTAGCTTTTCCTTTTAGTTTCTATACCTAAAAACTTTATATTTTAGTTTTTATATGATTATTATTATTTTTTTTATTTTCATGTTTTCATTTTGTATTGATTTTACAGAGTCAGTAAACTAGTAGCAGAAATGAAAACATAAAATAAATATTTATAATGGTTAAAACACATGATTTTTAAGTATAGAGATTTAAAAAAATTGATTAACTTTAAAAAAAGTTATTTTTAAAAAAATTAATATAATGGTCCTGTTTTAGTGGCGTGTTGTGACTATTGTCACAAAAATGAAGTCAAAATACTGTGAGGTGATCGAACATTTGAACCAATTAGATGAAATATTTCCTTCCAAGAAATCACATTTACAATTTTACATGTCGCGTGATTATAAATAAACATGTAGAATTGTAGATATACCCGTAAATATAGTTATTTAAGAAATATTATTTTACCCTTTTAAAAAAACAATATATTATTTTATTGATAACTAAAAATTAATAAAATACATTAATTAAAATAACTATTTTTATTTAATAATTAATTAAATCCTATATATTAAATATAAACCTCTATCTTGTATGAAAATATTTTTAAAATTTTTTCTTCAAAAATAGGATTTTGGGAGATTTTTTTAACTTCTAATATAATTTGATTTTATTTATCATAAATATTTATGAATTAAATTTTAGTATTTTTAAATAAATTATCAATAAATAAAAATAATATTATACTATAATATAAATTATTTATCATAAATTTAAAATATAATTTATATATTTAAAAGCATTTATTTATATAAAAAAATTAAATATAATTTATATATTTAAGTATAATATTTATTTATATTTATATTTATTATTTATTATAAAATTTAGTTATATATAATAAATATTTAGTTGCGAAATACTAGTTAATAATTAATTTGATTTGGTATTAAAAAAATCAATAAGACACGCGTGAAACATGAAAAATATGTGATTAGAGTAGAATTTGATTTAGGAAGCATTTTATTTTAAAAATAATGACTGTGGTGTGAATGAGTATGTTAAAGCCTAGATGCCTTGACTTTACTGCCTATCAGATTTGATTAATATCATTTATCATTCGAGAAAAACAGACCATTCAATAGAGTAAACGTCAAGACTCAATTTGACCTCTGAACCCTTGTTATATTAGTTACAAAAACTAATATTGTCAAATAATATTTTTAAAAATTAAATAAGTATTTACTGATATTTTAGTTCTTGAATATTTATTAATATTATTATTTAAGTCACATATTCTTTTAAATTTTGAACTAATGTAATTATCAATTAGGGTTTATAGAAACTTATTTAACAACTTTTTAATTTCAGAGGCTAATATAACATTACATTCCAAATTCGTAAATCAAATTAAATGTTTACTCTCTTGAAACAATGTTTTTCTTCTTTATGGTAGTAAACATAAGGCCATGGGCCGAAGACGCTAAATATGGCAAATGTGAAGGAGCTTCTTTGTGTTTGGCCCAAAAATAGGTGTTCGATATCACCAAAGTTCTGGTTTTGAAACAGAATCACTATTTAACACTGCAGATTCGTTTATTCTATCCTCTAATTAAATCGTATACGTCATTTACTCTAGTTTTTTTTTTTTTTTGCATAATGTCTGTAGAAAATAAAGTGAAGTGCCTAAAATGAATAACTTTCTACAAAGTCAAGAATTAAAATGGAGATTTTATAAAGTCAGGTACTAAAGTATTCGGTGCTTACAATATCAGGAACAAGTATTGAGCGATTATTCGATTTGGGGTAGGCCAAATTGGTGAACACCAACACTAACAACTTTCTTTCTAGCAATCCAATTATACATTTATACTGAAAAATAAACACATCCAAACAAACTTCATGATTGTCACATAAGATATACCTCTGGATTGTGGAAGGATTTCAATATGTATCAAGTGAATTATACTCGGTTTATAACATGAATCATTGGTATAATACACCTAAACACACAAAATTTGTGATATATGCTATCAGAGTATCAGTATTACATGCTAAGTGCTAACGGCACATATTAATAACTCAAATGCGTGAGATGTTTCACCACTGCATGGTTATGACACTACTGGTGTTGCTTGCCATTGACCACATCTCTCTTTATGTTCATTTATTTACAACACTGAACAATTAAACAGTTGAAAAAACTACCTCTTGATAGTTGCATATTCCACAATTACAAGAAGTTTGTACCCACAGAATAACTTGTTTTTGTAACACCATGCGAATAATATCCTTAATTGAAAAAGTCAATGAACCTTTGATATGTAAATAACATGATTAACTACAATATAAAAGTGGTTTTTTTTAGAGTTTTTCTATTAAAAAAAATTCTTTATTTCAGTAGAAAAGTTCTCTACTTGTATCTAAACATGCTTTAGTTCATAGTCAGGAATCAGGATTTAAGCTAACTGGAAATCCGGCTAAACTTCAAAATTTGGAAGAAAAATAATACTCTCCAATTACAAGATTTGAGGACCTGACTTTATGATAGACACATGGCATCCATTTTTCTACCCTTTCAATGAAGTTAATATCCTACTTCAGGGTTTCCAGTAAGAAAAATGTCCACAATCAAATATTCTAGATGATATACTAACAAATACTCCATTTACTTGATCAGGTCTCAAACTAAGTCATAGCATGCATTTGGATCATTTTCTTTTAAGCTTCTCCTTCATCCTTTCAACAGCAGCCCTTAGAGTTCCCTCATCCTTGCAGAAAGTAAACCTTACTAGATTCTTTCCCTCCTCAGGATTCAAATAAAACACACTGGTTGGAATTGCAGCCACTCCCACCTCCTTTATCAGATATTCACAAAATGCTACATCATTTTCCAATCCAAAAGGTGTGTGATCCACAATCACAAAGTAGGTTCCACTTGGAGGGAATACCCTGAAGCCAACATCCTTCAATCCTTCCACTAAAATATCCCTCTTTGCCATGTAATCCCTCTTTAATTCCACAAAGTAAGAATCTGGTGCTCTTAGAGCTGCTGCAGCTGCCCATTGCATAGGATTAGTGGAAGCAAAAGTGAGAAAAGCATGTGCCTGTCTCACTCCCCATGTCAAGTGTGGAGGGGCTATGGCCCATCCAATCTTCCATCCAGTTAGTGAAAATGTCTTCCCCAATGAGTTCATTGTAACTGTCCTTCCAAACATCCCAGGCAGAGAAGCTATAGAAACATGATCCATATCATAAGCCAATTTGTCATAAACCTCATCAGAAAATACCAAAACATCATTCTCAATGCAAAGAGATGCAATTGCATTGAGTTCTTCTGTTGAAAACATTTTCCCTGAAGGGTTGTGAGGCGTGTTTATGAGAATGGCGCGAGTTTGTTTGGACATTGTGGACTTCAATTCTTCAATGGGGACAGAAAAATCAGGAGGTTGAAGAGTGATGCCTTTCACTTTTGCACCAGCCATAGATAGAGTGGCCAAGTAAGAATCATAATAAGGGGCAAATAGGATAACCTCATCACCAGGGTTTATTAGTCCTAACATGGTTGCAGCAATTGCTTCTGTGCAACCGGTTGTGACAGTGATTTCCTTCTCAGGATCCACTACAAGGCCAGTGTCTTTCTTAAATCTATCAGCAATGGCAAAGTTCAGGTCTGGAACACCATGACCCCTTGCATACTGATTTTTCCCATCCCTTATGGCTTGAACTGCTGCTTCCTTTACAAATTCCGGGCCATCAAAGTTAGGAAAGCCTTGACCAAGGTTTATGGCTCCATGTTGGGCAGCAAGCATACTCATTTGGGTGAAGATTGTTGTTTTGAACTTCTCCAAACGCTTTGCAACCTAACAATCATGTGATGACAAGTAAGAACAAATATACACATGATGATAGGGAGATAGATACGCATTGGAATCTCTTTTCCCAAAGTCCTTGTTTTTTTATGAGAAAAAATTTATTTGCCACAACTGTGGAAACTTTACAAAGTTAAACAGGCTAGCATCTATATAGAATTTCCAAAATACTCCATTTTACTAGCAGCTAAGTAATTCAGAAGGAAATGACAATGGATCTTAAAAGGAAAGTAAGAAACAAGGGTAATAATCGAACTGTTTGACCATGAATGTCATTTCGCCTATGTGGTAGACAAGCTGAATCATGATATATCAATAATTCTACTATACTAACTATAAAAGGGATTTCCTCATTTGATGTCCACTTTTATCTTTCTCATTTTATCCCTAATAATCATACATAATCTTTAACAACCATACAAACTACATGATAGATTTATCATTTCTTCCCTTTCTTAGAGGCACTTAATGCCTTTTTTCCCACTAGTTATTGATAAAGGAAATACCACCAATAAAGGATGACAGAGTGGGAGCTTGGAGTAGGATTCACAGGATGACAGGATCTTACGTTCGAACCGTCATTGTAATTATTACAAAGAGACATGAAATGCCTCAATTCCATTAACATGGATATAAAAGAAATAACTAAATAATAAGATTTTTTTGTTGTTGTTGTTATAGAATGACAACAAGAAGGTCAACTTAGAACCTTGTGGATAGTATCAAGATTTTCAGTTGAACTAAACAAAAGCTACAAAATTTCGTGTTTTAAAAGCGAAAAGAAATGAACTATGAGAAATCCTCTGCACCCAAAAAACATAAGAAAGAGACAATTATTATTATCATTATTATATGGATCAGATAAGGTGAAAATTGAAAATTTTAAGGAAACACGTGCATCGAATGGGAGAGAAGGGCGAACCTGCAAAGGTTGTTGCGTTATTTGGTTTGTCTGTTTGTGATCAGAAACGGTGGCCATGACGGCAATGAATTTTGTGTGAATTGGGGCGAAACTGGAAGTTGATGCAAAGACCAATTAAGGCTGATTCTCATTTGGGGTTCACATGTCCATGTCCAGGTACATTGCACCTCTATTATATTTAACCATATCATATAATTTTATTCTATGTTCACAAGGTTTATTATGGCCATTTAAGAAACATTAAAGTCACAAAGAACGAGTATCGAAGCCAAAAGTGAAAGCAAATTGATTCCTTGATTCTTTCTGCCTACTGCAGTGATGATGCACTCCATCATAATTGAAAATTATAATAACTAATTTTTAACAGAATAAAAAAATAAAATAACTAAAATTTTATAATATTCAAAAATATAATAGTTAAATTTTAAAAATTAAAACAAAAATAAATAAAATTTATAAAAAAAAATAAAACAAAATAAGAATTTAACATCTATTTAAGTCAAATTTTATAAAATTTAAACTTTAATTTTCATTAATACAGAATAAAAACCTTAAATTTTGGTTTCAATCTAATTTTTTTTTTTGGTTTCTTTATGTGCTTTCTTTAATTTTAATGATATTTTGCTAATCACTAATATATTTATTATAGATTTTCTTTACTATGCATCATTGAAATTATTATATTTAAAAGTTTAATATTATAAATTTGACTTAAATGGATGTTTAATTCTTATAAAATAAAATTATTTTTGCTTTAATACTCTCTATTTTATTTTATTTTTTATTTTCATTTTATTAATTTTAGTTGCGTTCGTTTTAATTCTCTCAAAATTTTAGTTGTTTCATTTTAATTTTCTTAAATATTAAATTTTTTTCTTTTCTATTTTAAATCTTATAATTTTTTCATTAAATTTAACGATTGATTGAACAGTAAAGACAAAAATAAAATAATATCTTTTACATAAATAAAATAAAATAAAAATTTAAAAATCTTAGAAGCAAAACAAATTTCCTCATTTTAGATGGATAAAAAAGTTATTTAAGAAAACAATAAATAAACATTTTTGGAGTAAACAAAACTCTGAAATAGGCAATACGGTACAGCATGTTAAGCAGCTAGTGTCACTGATAATTAATTTTGAATATTCTATTTTTGTTTTTTATTTTAAAAATGAATAAAGATGTAAACAACTATGTTATTAACGTTGAAATTTTTATAGTCGAAAGTTACCTTTACTATTAAATAGTAACACTAAATTATACTTTTACTTGTTTATCTTATTTTTAAAATTTATTTTGATTATCCATTTTTTAAAATATTTATTTTAATTTTTTATCTTTTAAATCTGATTTAGTTTAATCATTCTAAAAATAACGATCATTTTCAATTTTGTAAAATGATATTAAATTTTTAATTGACAAATTTAAGCTGTAAAATTTAGTTTATTAAATTTATTTACATAAAAATTATTGAACTTGACATGATGAAAATTACATAAAAATTGGTTCTATGAACAATTGGAGAATTAATAAATCTAATATCGTAAGGGATAATAAAGTGGGTCACAGTCTATAAGTCAACCAACTCATTGGGCCAAATGGTAGCACAGGACAAATTGATCTCCAATCTATTTAATTAAATATTTTTATTTTTATTTATTTTAGTTGTTGTGTGTGTCATTTTGTATATTGTCATATTATCATTGAAAGACTATTAATACTTATGTTGTAATTGTCAAGGGTTATTATAATTTTTTGTTGTTAAAAAGACTTATTAGTAGTAATTTTAATTGAAAAAGAAAGAATTTTAGTAATTTAAAATTTAAATTTTTCTTTTTATAATCTTGAAGTTGAAGGACAAATTTATGTCATAAACTCCTTGATTAAGTTTTTGTCGATTGCTATTAAGAAAGTTAAATTTATCATATTGAATTAATGGTAAAAAAATAATACTACAAAAAATGTTCCATATAGTGACATACAAAAAGTGTCACTATAGGTATAATATATGTAGGTATATACCTATTTGACATATAGCTACATACAATTTTAGTGTTGATTTTGAATGAGATTTAACAACATATTTTGTATGTCACTATAGCTTATACCTACACTCTTTAACAATATACCAACATATATTATATTTATTGTATGGGTAAAAGTAGTTTTTAGTGACACCTATTATGTCACTATAGGGTGTGTCACTATACGACAATTTTCTTGTAGTGATACATTTTTTATTTTAATTCATTTTCAACAAATGGATTAGCATGTCCAATATCAATTTTGATGGATCATTAATGGAACAAGTCGACTCAATTTAATCCATTTTGTCACCCAACTATCGTATCATATTCTATTCAAATCATAATTAATTATTTTAACCATTAAAACTAATTTTTGAAATTTTTGAAAATTAAAAGCCTGGAATCTATATTTTTTTGGCAATGTGTATTCTAAAATTGATGGTCTTTTTGGCCAATTAGATTGAGGGAGAAGGAAGTATTTAGTATTAACCTGTATGGATGGGATTTGTGACCAATGTTGTAACG